ATTTAAAACCTGGCCATTGGTAGGCCCTTCTTTGTCCCCTGGTTGGCATTTGGGGTCTTTTCAAGCTGGGTGTGGGGGACGTAATTTGTCATCCATGTTTGTCTACTTCTGTACCTTGATTGAGAACGATTTTCCATGGTCTGTTGGGTCTTGTGGCAACCAGATGTGAAATGAGGTGGCCAAGTTAGCCTCTACTGTTCTGCCCCACTGTCTAATAGGGCAAGGTTCTGTTGTCAATCTCTTCTACCCCACTGCAAACTCTCACCACCTTCCCTATGTCAGAGTCTTTTCCCTGTTCTGTGGATAATGGATGTAGTGTCACAGGGGCTATGAGAACTCACTCAAAAAATGTTCCTGCCGTAGTTTGCTTTGTTTGTTTTAAAAGTCAGAAATTAGACATGGCTTTTACAATTTCTTCCAGTTTGACTCTCCTAGTTGACTTATTCAGTAAATGGAGGGAGTCATCGAGTTAAAAACTGGAATGTGTACAGTAGCCCCGATCCATGGGAGATAAGTTCTAAGACACCACAGAAAATGCCTGAAATTGCGGGTAGTACCAAATTCTATATATACTATGTTGTTTTTGTTTTTTTAATCTGATAACAAGGTGGCTACTAAGTAACGACAAGATGGGTAGTTTAGACAGCAGAGCTACACTGGACACAGGAATGATCCACATCCCAGGCTGGTCATAAGGAGAGTTCATCATGCTACTTAAAATTATGCACAATTTAAAACTTATAAATTGTTTATTTCTGAAATTTTCCATTAATATGTTCAGACTATTGTTGACTATGGGTAACTGAAACCATGGTAAGCAAAACTATGGATAAATGGGGACTACTGTATATGATATGAGGGTTCATACATGACAAATGATATTGTGAAGTAGATGATATTTGTTTTAAATTTTTAATACTCTATTTTTAAACTTTCATCTTCCAGAATGCTATACTTTTGTGATTTTTCTACAGCCTTCCTTCTTTTTGAATTCTATTTTCAGAAAATTATCTGATAAGTACAACACCAATAAGGTATAAATGACTCAGAGCACTTACACATTATTCTTTCTACATGTATTTTTATTTAAAGTAAAAAATTTCTGAAACAAAAGAATAATTTTCTCTCAAGTTCTTAGGCAATGATGTTTTGGAGTTAAAGGAGAGGTTATTCTCAATTATATCATTTAGATCACTATGTGTCCAGTTGTTTAATATTTCAAAAGATATTTTTAGAATTTAAAATTCTATTAGGTAACTTTACTTATTTATTTATTTAGAATCAGGGTCTCACTCTATAACCCAGGCTGGAGTGCAGTGGCACACTCATGGCCACCGCAGCCTCAACCTGCTGGGCTCAGGCAATCCTACTTTCACAGCCTTCTAAGTAGCTGGAGCTACAGACACGTGCCACCATGCCCAGCTAAATTTTTAATTTGTTGTAGAGATGAAGTTTTGCTAAGTTTCCCAGGCTGCTCTCGAACTTGTGGACTCAGGCAATCCTCTCAACTTGGCCTCCCAAAATGCTGGGATTACAGGCGTGAGCCACTGTGCCTAGCCTCTATTAGGTAACTTTAAAGGAAAAATTGACCCATAATTATTATAATATTATTTACATTAAATCACTATATGACAAGAATGAAAAATTCTGAAAACAAATTCAAATTTTCTTTTTTTGTTGTTTTTTGAGTTGGAGTCTCGGTCTGTCACCCAGGCTGGAGTGTAGTGGCATGCTCACAGCCACCCCAACGTCAACCTACTGAACTTAGGCAATCTTTAGCCTCAGCCTTCCTAGTAGCCAGAACAACAGTTGTGTGTTATCATGCCCAGCTAATTTTTTTGATTTATTGTAGAGATAATGTCTCACCAAGTTGCCCAGGCTGGTCTCGTGCACATGGGCTCAGGCAATCCCCTCACCTCAGCCTCCCAAAGTCCTGGGATTACAGGCTTGAGCCACTGCGCCTGGCCTATTTTTCTAATACAAGTTATTGGAAGCTATCAGACTTAAGACTACTAAAATAAATGTGTCATCTTAAATATCTTCCAAACAGGAACTTCTTGACCATGGTTTGACAAATATTTTTTGTGCATGTGAAGGATCATATAGTAAACATGTTAGCCTTGGAGACCTGTACAGTCTTTGTTGCAACTATTCAACTTTGCTGTTATAGCACAAAAGCAGTCATAGAGAATATACATATGATGAGCTTTACCATGTTCCAATAAAAACCGTATTTATGGATACTCAAATTTTCTATAATATAATTTTTACATATCACCAAATATTGTTCTGCTGTTAATTATTTTAACCATTTCAAAATATAGACACCATTCTTAGCTCAAGAGATAGAAAGGAACAGAGGAGTGGGTCTATTTGACTCACAGCCAGGAGTTTCCAGCCTTCTACTCTAGACTTGGCTCTTCAGGATTGCCATGGTAGACAGTGGACAGTCTCAGGGTTGGGTGTGGATTTGGCAAACAAAGCTATTCCACAAAGAGGCAGAAGAGCACAGCTTAGGCGTGTCTTCAATAATAGCAGTAAAGACCTTCTATTCATGAACTCTTTGCACTAAGAAAAAAACAAAACTGAATTTTTGTCAATCTTCTGAGCTTGAAAATTCCTTCCGCCTGACTTCCCTGCATCCAGTATATTTGGGTTTAGAATGCTCAATTTTCTCTCCCTGTCCTTGATTCTGTTGGTTTTTAAAAAAAAAGGGGGGGGGGGATGCATATATATATATATATATAATTATATTATTATTTTTAGTTGGATCCTCACTCTGTCCCCCAGGCTGGAGTGCAGTGGCATGCTCATGGCTACCGCAGCCTCAACCTGCTGGGCTCAGGCAAAACTTTTGCCTCAGACTTCCAAGTATCTGGAACTACAGGCATGCACCACTACTCCTGGCTAAAATGCTTAGATTATAGGTGTGAGCCACTGCATCTGGCAATGCCAATATTTTTATGAGTTTTCAATTTCCTTATCTGACCTGTTAGCATCAATAATGCTGATCGCAACAATTATAGAATATTCTCACTTCTTAATGGAAAAATGCTAAATCAAGACCAAAAGGCCTAGTTTCCAATCTGATATTTATTTTTTTAACTGAGTGACCTTGTAAAAACATCAGTTTATTTATGTGTAAAAGAAAGATCTTGAAGATTTTTGTTCTTCTTGTATAAATGAATGACATTTCTCATATTGCAAATATTACTTTACTATTTGCTAGAGATATGGGCAAATTATGGAAGATGTGTCAAAGTAAGAAAAAGGCAGATTTAAACAGTAAATTCATACTTGTATTTTTTGTGTTGACTGAGTTTTATAGTAACAAAATATTCAGAATAAAGTCAACCACAGGGCGTGCTCTTATTTTTATTTTTCTGGAAGCATCCATAGGTAAGCTGGTTAAAGAGTCTCTTGTTTACACTTCATTTCTTTGAAAGAATAAAAAAGGAAACACATTTTTATAGAACATGTGAATTGATACTTTGAACCTGCAGATGGTGCTGTGATTCCATTTTAAAATTGTTTTGCATTCTAGTTATAGATTCATAAAAAACAATGTAGTTCTTTGATTTAGGTCACTTTTGTTCAAAAGTAATAAAATTGAATTATTTCTTTTTGCTTTTGTTTTTTATTATTATAATGAGAGAAACTGTTTTCACTATTAGAAAAAGCTACTATAGTTACTCTTTGTGAATGCTAGAGGTTTACTTAAACCAAAAAATAATCAACTTTCATGTCTTTTTAAAGAAAGATATTTCTGCTTACTATTTAGTATTGATTTGTCTGTGACTCTCCATCAACTTACTTTGTTGTCGTTGTTCTGAAATTAAATTACTTCACTGAGAATTGAATGACGAAGAGCTAAGGATAAAAAAAATTCCATATGAGAACCATTTCAATCTCTAGTTTGTAATAATCAGGTAAAAAAAGATTTCCTGGAATTAAGCCACAGGAACTCTGGCTTAAGTCAGAGCTGTCAACTGGGAAACAAATTTCCAGACATTTTGAAATTTAATTCATTTAATTTATCTTGTAACTGAATTAGAAAATATGATTACGCATAGCAGGATATTCTTTTACTGGATCAGTCAAACTTTGAGTAAAGCAAATAGACACTAAAATCTTAAACTGGAAGAAAGACTTTAGAGTCATTCCTCCTTATGACACTTATAAACAAAAATGTAAAAATAATACCCACAACAGAAATTTTCAAAAGAAAAAGAAAAAATAGCATTTTAAAGTTTTGTTGTTCATGACATTGTTCTTGTGGCTGCATTTTTACCTTAAACGCTGGTTGAAGGCTTGCTAGGATACTTTGAATTAAAAACCTACAAATGGAAGTTAAATATCATTAAAGTACTATATAAATGTTTTTCAACTAATCCTCCTGTCAAGTGACTGGGTCAGAAATGTTAAAAAACAAACAAACAAAACAAAACTGGTGTGAATACATGTGTGTTGGGGTTGGGAGTAAAAATAATTCTACATAGTGCAAGGACTTATAAAAATGATGAGAATACCCTTTTACAAGGAAGGAAAAATTGAGTCCTTTGAGACACATAGTCTGATAATAATTTACTTTTTGGATCATTTGAAACAATGTATGGGAAAGTGCACTGGGAATTATATCACTGTATACAAACATGAAACAGCACTACTTCTACTGTTTTATAGCATAAAAAGAAAAAAGGCATTAAGAGAATTAATGCTTTTTAATAAAGCATAATTATACACTTATAAGCATAATGCACACAAGTATTTGTTGCTTTCCGCATTTGTTCCTGCACATGAAGTCTTTATTTTCTGAGGGAATCCCAGTGTCCCTAGCAATAATACTATAATCATATTCTTATTTCATTAAGACCAATTAAAGATTAAAACATTTCACATTAAGCTTGGTATCTTTTTTTATTTTCTTACATCTTCAAGTTATTCACTATAAATTTATAGAAATCAGACGTAATGACAATTAAATAAGAACTTCAAGCCCTATTCATCCCATGGCCGTCGCACTGTGACGTCTTTCAGAGAGCTTTGTGATTGCTCAGCCCTAAGGATAAGCCCTATAAAATGATGGATTTTGAAATGCTGGTCAGAGTAGAGTGAAGAGCAGGAGCTGACACAAGCAGCCAACCCTTAGCCAGTACTAAGGGCAGAGAACTGGTGGAAACTGTCTCTTGCTACCAGTACTTCAGCACCGAAGACAGCTCTCACACTCTCCAGGACACGAAGTTCCAGAGGAACACTACTCAGCAAGGTAAGTAAACACTTTACTATTCTTCTTCTTTATCCCTCCTGCCTCTGGAACTTTTATCACAATGTATTTATTTTTTATCTCTCTTGAAAATAATTTTACAGTGCTCATTCCTTTGAAACAGCAAAAAGACATATTTCCCAAGTCACCTGGTAAGAATACAAATACCTTTATTTCCCTTATATGAATAGATTTTCTGAATTATTTTGTTAATAAGATACTTTATTTATTTTTTTACTGTTTTACTAAATACTGATTTTTCAAAATTATGCATTCAGGTAGGGTTTATTTGCTTGTATGTAGATTGCACTGAAGGGGTTAGTGGGTACATTTGTTTTTGAAGTGTTTAACTTGTGCTGTTTTTTATTTTTTATTTCATATGTTGGTTAAGTAGACCTTTAAAAAGTACTTATTTTTCTTTATTTTTAAGCTTAAATATTGTAACTTTTATAGGCAGCATGAGAAACTGACTTTGAAATTCTAAATTTTTATCAAAAAACTACTTTGAAATGAAATGTGTAAATGGATTAAATGCAAGAAACACAAGCTTTGTTTTTAATATATTTTGTCCTTACATAAAAAATGTATTTCAATGACAATATAAGATTCAGAAATATTTTAGGTATTCTATTAATTTATGCTACTAATTGAATTAAGTTGTTCAAATCAAGACTTAAGAAAATAAATTTCCAGTAATATCTACAATTAAGAGAGGAAAAAGATATGTATATACAAAATCTTTTTTATATTGATATGCATATATATGCTCATTATATTTATACATATATACACACACTAGTAGAATAATTATTAAATATATGATACTCCAGTCTTATATTAATCAGACACCAATAATTTAAAGCAGAAGAAAATTGATTTCTCAAAGCGGTGTCCTTAGTCAAAAAAGATACTGAAGTTGGGTGCTAAACTCTGTCATAAAATAATTGTCCTTAGGGTTATTTCCAACACTATAAAAGTATGACATTTGCAATATGCTTGGACCAACCATGTGCCTGATGATAAGAATCCTCCTTTTTATCAAGCACCTGTCACTGAGAGAAACCCTGATGTAAAAAAGTAATCGTATTGCAGTCTAAGTTTTTCTTCAAGAAGAAAATAACTTTTCCCAAATTCTGGAAGAACCTTTGGAAATTACTGCTAGTTACTAAAAATGACCTTGCTTGTGACACCTGTGGTTGGAAGAGCTGATGTAATTCTTTCTCTTCAGAGGCACAGAAATGGAAACCAGAAGTAAGCCCCAGCTCCTTGTGCTCCTGATCCTTCTCAGTGGTCTCTTCTCGCCAATGTTGGCATGGCCTGTTTTGGGGCCACCTTCTACTCTGAGGTAAGTTCCCTGCTGAAGTAAGTTCCTTTTCAACTCACAGTAGAACATTTCTTCTTCATCTAAATGGGAATTTCCTGTATGTTATTTTGGATATGCAACATTTTAAATTTTATATTATTTGCTTAAAGTTTTTGGTTGAGGTGTTGAACAAGCATTGTTCTTTTTCTTTTCTTTTCATTTTTTTTTAAACATGAAGTCAACATAATCATTCTGAGCCCTGGAATTCACATTTAAAGCATGAGACACAGTGTCACCGACAGGTTTTAATAGGTCATCTCCAAACATGGTGAAAAGAGGATTTGAATTTTTGTCCTTCAAAACTAGTTTTATGTAGGTAATAAGCTTTTATCCATTGTCATCTTAGTTCAGTTCAGTTTCTGATGGAAAAATCGCTGTTTAGTTCCTAACCACATTTTAGTTCATTTTAAAGATTAAGCATTAAATAATCAGAAGTTTAGTAGTTTATTAGTGAAAAATGTGCAAAATCATGTCAGACAGAAATATACTTAGGCAGAATCAATATTAAAAATTGGGAGATAATTCACCTACTGTGATATACTTTCCCCTGAGAAAATTTCTATATACTTGGTTTGATCTATAAATTCTCAGTTTTGCTATTTTGTATGTTGTATTCTATATTTCAAATGTATAATAATTTATATTAAAACATTATTTGAAATAAATTTATCCCACAAAAGAAAACATTAGCTTAAATTGTCCTTCCAGTTTACATGCACTACTATATCAAAAGACAAAATAATCTTCTTTTGAGGGGGGTTATTTGTCCATTTCTGATTTTTTAAGTTAGGTATGCTCCAAAGAGTGAATCTTCCCTTAGCTGTTAATGTTTTCTGTGACATATGGTTAAAGCCAGCTTTTGTGTTGCTTTGATAACTAGATAGAGTGGTTCTATTACAACAGATAAACAATCACAAGAACATTGAAGTTTGCATTGATTGCTAGGCTTCAGACCCACAGAGGACTACTTGTTAGTGACAACCAACTGCCACATCACCAGAAGATACACAAGTACCCAGGAACTGGCTCATGCCTTGGAGATTTACCTTAACAGTGAAAATAAACACACACAAATTTATGTTTGTTGGTGTTTAAAATGTGCATGCATCCAAAAATATAGTCATTTTCCATATATAGGCATGACTATTCTTTGTTTTCCAATGTGACATTTTACACCCCTTATTGTAGTTGTGTTAATATGTAAACTGAGAAACTAGAAAGCACCACCACATTTATTGGATTTGAGTATGTACAGGTGAAAAGATTCTCTAGGCTTGATCAATACAGAGAAATACATCATGCCAAGGTAAATCTTTGAAGCAAAGCTTAGGGACTGAGAGAGAAAAAAGCAATTAATACTTAGGTCTTAGAGATATTTTGGACAAATGATACTAAATATCATCAAGTACATGAATTGTTATGGGTTTTCATATTAAATATAAATTTTTCCAAGTTTCTATGAAAACCTGTAAAGTTTATGAAATTTGACTTTACAAAGTAGAGATATTCTTGGTTTAGCAAAGTACACCAAGGAGGTATATTTTGCTTAATGCTCTGAGAGCACTGATTATGTAGCTCATATGTTTGGTATATAAAACTGATAAAAGTTATACGACATCTATTTTAAATAATAATAAAAATTCCTATTTAAACTCTCACAAATCAAAAAGCCATGAAGTCAAATGATAAAATTCTTATATTATGAAGGGGTAATAGTTTTTAAGAGTCTAAGTAGTTTATTTTAAATGGTTTCAAAACCATAAACACTATCTTCTGAGAAAGAAATGTATTATACTTCTAGTGTGCTTTTCCTTAACAGGGTGGGTGACAGAATGCCTTTTGAGGCAGCAAATGAACCTGATCAAGTTTCCTTAAAAGCAGACACTGACATCCTGCAAAATGCATTAGCTGAAAATGACACACCCTATTATGATGTATCCAGGTGAGTTTACTTTTATAAAACTATCCAAGTAAGTCTTATTTTAGAAAATATATTTTAGAAATACAAATGTTCTAATTTTATCTCACCATGAAGCTATTCCTGTAGTATAACACTAAAAGTTTTATGGTTTATTCAACCTGACTTCCTGCAGCTCTTGTATATATCTTTATTCAGTGTCACAGGAATAAAGTACCATGAATAAATAGAAAATAATTTAAATATATTGTATTTTTCATACCAGCATTTCTTAAAAATAGCCTTATTCTACTAGAGAGCAATATTGAAATAAACTTCTATAAAAGCTTGTTTCTTTAATTTTTCAAAGTCTTGGTCTAGAAATATAGAATATATCTTGATATAAGTGACTAGACAATATCTCTTGTTTGGGTGTCAGGAAACCTGCTTTTTGGATTTGAGTCTTAATGAGAAACATTTATAATAAGCCCACACATTTCTTTGTTATTTAATAAGCTATACTAATATCATAGAAAACCATTTAAAATAATACCTACTTTGTCTTTCTTATTTTAGAAATGCCAGACATGCTGATGGAGTTTTCACCAGTGACTACAGTAGACTCTTGGGTCAAATTTCTGCCAAAAAATACCTTGAGTCCCTTATGGGAAAACGAGTTAGGTAAAGATAACTTATTATTTTTTTTATCAAACATGTTACCATTACTTAATCTGCAAATTATATTTTTACTCTTAACAAGTAGTTTGCCTTATTTAAAATTGATAATTTTTGATAACATTTAATTTAGTGAAATACAAAAGCTTATATTGTTGACTAAAATATACCAGGCCCATGGATTAAAGAAATACAGTTTTTTAGTAATATTCTGCTCATTGATTCCAGACACATTTTTTAAAGTAGTAATTGGTTACAGATTTGCAATTAAATTGAATGAGTCAGTAAAAATTAACAAGAAATAGTATAAACTTGAAGCAAAGTTTAAGACTAGATATGGTACTTACTTTTTATTTCCTGAGCAAACCAAATGCTAGAGGATAAAATGGCTAGTAGCTGAATATTTAGATGACTCTGCTCAGGGTAGTATGGTTTCTAAGGAGGCATTTATTTTTTTAAAAAAGAATTCCTCCCAATGACTGAATGCAAATTCAGCTATTCTCCATTTTTTGGACAAATTATTTGCTCACTTTTATAGACATGTCCTAAGAGTCCAAAATCATGCCTAATGTTGCTCACTTTTATAGACATGTCCTAAGACAGTCCAAAATCATGCCAAAATGCATCCCTGCATTCTGAATTTGCATCCCTTATCTTTAGGTTAGCAATAATTTTCCTCAGTCTTTCTATGATAGATATGAGTTGAGTGTTGAAATCCTTTCTATTGGACTCCAAGAAATTTGAGACATTTTGTACATTTGCCATTTCTTATAAAAGCTCTTTAATTTCCTTTTTCTCACATCCTTTAGCAGTAACATCTCAGAAGATCCTGTACCAATCAAACGTCATTCAGATGCAGTCTTCACTGACAATTATACCCGCCTTAGGAAACAAATGGCTGTAAAGAAATACTTGAACTCGATTCTGAATGGAAAGAGGAGGTAAAGAAAAAGAAACTTGTTAAAATGAGAAATTATAAATGACTTTCAAAATATAAACTACATAGGAAGACAAATCTCTATTTCACTATCTATCAATACTTTGTGAAGTAGTTGGCTGACATTAGACTACCCCAGAGAATTTTTAAAATATTGATGTCTGTACTTGACCCAAAACCAACTGCCAGGAAGTCAGTGCCTTTGAAGATGTGGCCCTAGACATAGGTATTTTTAAAGAGTTCTCCAATTTATTCGATTGTGCCGCCAGGGTTAAAATTGATGACTATGGAGCCATTAAGTATGAAGTTGGAAATTGTTTTTTTTGTCAAAAATGATAATCTTGAAAACAGTCAATTATCAACTTGTTAATACATGAAACTCCCTCCATGTGTATATTCAATATCATTTTTAATCATACTAAACCATTAGATATTTTGTATATATAAAGTCCATAAAACCTATATCTCTCTATGGAGTGTAAATATTGGGCACAATATATAGTTAGTGGAGTGCTCTCTCTTTTTATTTCAACCATTTTTGTTTACATGGTAAGTATTAAGGATTATTCTTCTGGGTAAGATCAGACAAGATGACCTTTGCCCACATGATTATAATTTTATAACAATAATTGTAGATACCCTAAGATTAAGAAGCAACTTATTGGTAAAAACAAACCTTAAAAATAATTGTTTAGCCCCAGTATACTGCACATAGAACATCACAGTCATCTTAGAATGTCTCTCATCCAAGAGCCTTAACATGCACCATTGTTTTCCCCGGTCTGCAGCAGTGAGGGAGAGTCTCCCGACTTTCCTGAAGAGTTAGAAAAATGACGAATAAACTCTTTGGAGCAAAGCTGATGACAACTTCCCAGCGGTGGGTATATTTGTTCATTTCTTATAGCAGTTACTCAACTATGACTCTTATCAAGGTAGGAGTAAGGAACATTTTAAGGTTAAGTAATTTCTCATCATGAGATTTCATCTATGAAAAGCACTATTTCCTATATAGACCTCAATCTAGTAAACAGCTTAAAGTGATTCCTGCAATGTTTCTATCACATAAAAGAGAACACTCACAATGAACAAACAGTTTGGCATCTGAATAGTCCTCCTAGTTTTCTCAGTTATTTCTATCCTTGTGTCAAGATTAAAAAATGGAGTCTGACTCACACTGATGAGAAAGTGTGACATTCTTTTTTGAGGATCAAGTCATGCTGCTTTTATTAATTTAAGGTTTATTCCCTGGTAGCACTTCATTTAACTCAGTACAGGGAAATACTACCAAACAACAGCATGGTTTATTATGAAAATACCGACAGCCTAATCTAATTGTATTCCTTGAAAGATGGCAAATTTCATGCAGCAAAAGTAAAATGTAGCTTGTTTTACCTACAAAGTAAGTGTCGGCATTATGACCCTAATAGCATTCACAGCAAAATATTTTATGAGTAGGGAAAACATACATAGTATTTTTTATTTGTGATGAATAAGCTTCTTATCAAAATTGATTTTATATAATTATGGGTTCAAGACATCTATCTTTCCTGAGTTATGTTATATTAATATTTACATTATTTCATACAAGCCTGTAATGCTTGGCAAGTGTTTAAAGAAATTTTATGTCATCGCTGTATCAAAAGTTAGTTAATTTTCCTCTAAAATGCAGAGTATATATGTTTGACTGTGGGCTATGTGGTTTTTGTTGTAACGAGTTAATTCTGCTATTGTAGCATGGAAGCAACCACAGATCTATGTAAAACAGATAGAAGTAGCCGTCTGCCAATAAAACTTTATTCATAAATTCTGAAGGTGGACCAAATTCCAGGTGGCCCTCCTAGGTCAAGGAGATTGAAGTCACCCTGTACTCAGACTAAAGGCAATTGATGGTCTTATCTTAGTTTCTGGTGTGGTTATCTATGGTTTTCAAGAAAGTCTTCAAGAGTAGACATGGTGTCTGGGGAGAGAGTTAGTCACATCTAACTTCTCGAAATTTTTTTTTATAAGAACAAGACTTCTCCATCAAATTAGGAAATACAATAGGCACTATAATAAAAAGGGGAATTGATTAATCACTCAATCCTTTCTAAGTTGGAAATTTGTTCATGAGATTCCAGCCTCCTTTTGCATTTTGAATAGGTGGCTGTGCACAAATTATTTGAATGGGAAATTCTATGGGTCATCCATTTATGCAATTACAAGTGAATAATTATTAATGACTAATTAGAGAGTCTCTTCACGTTTCAGTTCCTTTCTGATAATCAGTCTTCTGGAAGGTGCTCTCTTGATATATCCCAGAACATGATCCCTTGCCACAGGCTGTTAACCAGAGAAAAAGAAAAATATATGTTTTCAAATGAGTAAATGAGTGAATAAAACTAAGATCCTGTATATAAAAATATTTTATACTTAAAGCGACAATTCTTTCTTTTTCAGAATTCTTGAAGGAAAATGATAGACAAAGTTATTAAATTTTGAGTTCTACATACGTAGTTCAAGAAAACAACTTCAATATCAAAACCAAATACAATATATTGTGTTGTGAATGTTGTGATTTATTTTATCTAATGTAATAAATGTGATGTTTACATTGTAAATATTATTTGAGAGTTCTACATTTTGTCTTTAACTCATAAAAGCCTGTAATTTCATATGCTGTATATCCTTTCTAACAAATAATATATTTAATGATAAGTAAATACTAGGTTAATTCCAATTATATGAGACTTTTTGAAAGAGTAGTAATAGAGCAAAATTGATGTGTTTATTTATAGAGTGTACTTAAGTATTCAGAACAGATCATCAGTGTGTCTAAACTGGATTAATAAGCAGACAGAATGCTGTGTTAAATGAACCTCATCATGTCTAAGAGGATAACAACGAAGAGAAAAAGACATTCTTCAAAAAAAGATTTTCAGAAATTCTCATGTGTTTCCACATTTGTAGGTAACCTCTATTTTTAATGGGATTTAAAATCTCAAATTTGGATTGCTAATCACCAAAGGCTTTCTCTGGATCTAGTGTTTCAGTTAAGGAAAAGGACCTCTATTTCTGACATTAGACTTTCCCTCTATGCTTGTGTTAAGTACATATAGAATGTAAACTGAATTGAATACATGTTTTTCATTAATAAATATTTTCTCCATCATCTCTCAGAATAATGCTTTGGTCAATGAAAGTATATTTGGAGACATAACTATTTTTCCAAAGTGATTGTGAGAAATCAAATATAGAAAATAAAGACCTTTGATTATCATTGCAGATAATGTTCTTTTGTGCTATTTTTTAAATGATTCAGTAGTAAATCACTTTAGCTTTGAGGTTCCAGGCACTATATGATTTATGTGTTATTTAAGGCATTTGATCATGTGCAAATACTAAAGCAATGGTGACTTAAATAAGAAAGAAATTTCTTTCTCACATAATAAAGCCAGAAGTAATATATCAAGAATTATTTGATAGTTCTGCTCTGTGAAGTCCTTGATAACCTAAATCCTTCCCAGCTCATCCCTTATCTCCTAGGGTGTTGGCCTTTTCTTCATAATAAAAAATTGACTCTAGAGTTCCAGCCATCATATCAGCATTCCAGGAAACAGGATGAAGGAAGGAACATAGAAGAAAAGATCAAATGTTACATGTTGGTTCTTTTTGGGCTGATATCTTGCACTGTCATCCCTTTGGCTAGATCATAGTCTTATGGCCACAGTCATTTGCAAGAGAGGCTGGAAAATGTAGTGTGATTTTGGTTTGTTTTATTTCTCTGTGTGTCATGTACCCAGTTTAAAACTAGGACTCTATTAATGTAATACAAGGAAAATAAATTTATGTAGAATTTTTTTAGTCCAAGGCTATGGATCTTGCATTCTCGCCTTAAAGAAACATTTTTTTTTTAAAGTGGGAGTCAGGCTCTAACCATTAATGAAGAAACATTATCATCACTGGGCAACACTTTGCTGGGTTTCTTTTGCAACAATTAGAACAAAAGGCTACATTAGGAGAGACTAGAACTCCCAGGACAATGCTTTGCTGGGTTTCTTTTGCAGCAATTAGAACAAAAGGCTACATTAGGAGAGTTTAGAACTACCAGTGCTTTCAAAGCAGTTTATTCAAGTTGAAGTGAATTGGACTTTTTGTGTCCTTTGTTCATATCTGATTCCACAAGTTATTAAATATGTATTAAGCAACTTTTTAATGAGAAGCACTGCAGTGAAAACAGAAAATTTATAGGTGTTACTCTCACATAGGAGCTTTTAAAGATCAAATGAGGGCATACTGTGAATGTGAAACTAAAGAGATTTAATTTAATTTTTTTAAGTGAATTTTAAAAATTTATTTCCTATTTCTTCGAGAGAGAGCTATTGGGTAACTCTGGTGTGCTATGTAGATATCTGAGAGAGTGTTTTGGTCTGAGAGAACAGCTAGTGCAATTGAACAGTCCTGGGACATTCCAGAAACAAGAAAGTCCATGTGTCTGGAACAGTGTGAGCTGGACAGGGACCAAGTAGGAGAGGAGGCCAAAGAAGTTACTAAGGACTGGATTTTGTAGAGCCTCAGAGGCCACTGTAAGGACTTAAAATGTAAAATGAGGAAATATTGAAGTGTTTTGGGCAAGGGTGGGATTTTTACAGGCTCGTTGGATACTCTCTTAGGAAGAGTGTGAAAGAGTACTAAGGGTGGAAGCAGCAAGAAAAATAAGGAGGTATGTGCAATAAATTAGGTGGCAGATGATGGTGGCCACCAGGGCATAAGTTCTGGAGATAGTGAGAGGGGGAGTCTCAAAACGTCATGAAAGAAGAGTCAAGTTTTTGCTGGTAGATTGAAAGTAGGAAGGAGAACAGTGTAGAATGATTCCAGGTTGAATCGCCTGGGTCACCTGAAGGATAGAATCTGTCATAAGTGAGATAGAGAAGACTGGGAGGAACAAGGCTTCAGGGAAAGATGAGAAGTTAATTCTGGACATGTTAAAGCTGGTGTACGGTAGTGAGTTGGAAATAGACATGAAGAGATGTCCGGTTGCAGATAGGTAGTTGGAAGACTTCAGTATTTAAATGGGATTTTAAAATACAAGACTGCCAGGGGTGAGGGGGGTGCACATTTCATCAGTAAGGGTACCTGATCACAAACCTGGTAAAGTGGGAATCAAAGTGAGGCCCTAACATTATCTGTACAATGATCATTTGTATACCCTAACCCTGAATTGTACTCCACAAAGTAAAAATTTTTAAAAAGTTACAAGGCTGGATGAGATCACCAAGAGACTGAATGCTGTTAAAAGCAACAGGCCGGACATGGTGGCTCAAGCCTGCAATCCCAGAATTTTGGGAGGCTGAGGTGAGAAGATTGCCTGAGCCTATGGGTTCAAGAATAGCCTGGGCAACTTGGTGAGATCTCATCTCTACAATAAATAAAAAATTAGCCGGGTGTGGTAGCGCACACCTGTAGTTCCACCTACTTGGAAGGCTGAGGTAGAAGGATCATCTGAATCCAGCATGCCGACCCTGGGTTGGCCGTAAGCATGTGTGCCACTGCACTCCAGCCTAGGTAGTGGAGTGAGATGCCAATTCAAAAAACAAAAACAAAAAAACCTCAACACATAATCTCTGGGTGCTTTCATTTCCTAGGGCTGCCATAACAAAGCACAATAGACTATGTGACTCAAATGCAAAAGTGTATTTTCTTACAGTACTGGAGGCTAAATGTCTGAAAGCATGGTGTCTTTGGGCAGGTTCCTTTTGAGAGCTGCAAGTAAGAATCTGATCCATCTCTCTACACTGGCTTCAGGTACTTTGCTGGCAATCTTTGGTTGGCAGAAGTGTCACTTCTGTCTCTGCCTTGATCTTCACGTGGCATTCTTTCTGTGTGTATATATGTGTCTCCAAATTTCCACTTTATATAAGGACATCAATTATATTGGATTAGGGCTCATGCTAATGAATAAATTTCTTCCGTAAAAAATAAAAACAAAACTCTATCTCCAAATAAGGTCACATCATAGGGGATTGGGGTAAGGACTTTAACATATGAATTTGAGGGGACATAATTCAACCTATAATAATACTGAGACACCTTAACATTTAGAGTTTGGAATTTTGCAGAACAAATGGGTTAAGGGGACTGAAAGGAAAAGCTAGTGGAACAGAAGAAAAAATAGGAGAAAAATGTTATCCTGGAAAAGAAATAAAGGCATTCAAGGAAAAAAGGATCATTAACAGAGTCAAATACTGTGGCAATGTGAAGTAATATTCATTTACTGATTTCTTCAAAAGTATGTTTAAGAAACCTACCATGTACCCAGTACTGTGTTAGGTTCTGAAGATATAGCAGTAAACAAAACAGACAAAAATTTCTGTCTTCATGGAGTTTACATTTCATTGAAAGAAACAGATGATAAAATAGTTAAGTAAAATAAATATTTTGTTAGAAAGTGATAAGTGCTAAGGAGAAAAATTAAGGCAGAGAAAGAGTATATGAAGAGTTTTTAAAAAGAGGTCTAAATTTTAGATAGAGTTCCAAGAGAAGGCCTCACAAGGAGGTGAATATTGAAGAGAACTCTGAAAGAACCAGGGAAACCAGGAGGAAGTCTCTAGGGAATGATTATTCTAGGCAGAGAGAATATTAGATACAAAAGTTCTTAGGTGGGGGCATACCTAATATTTTGAGGAACAGAGAGGAGGCCAATTTGACTGGAGTGGAGTGCATAATTATAAGAAGTTGTAGAAGGTAAAGTCAGAGAGGTTATGAAGAATCAAGTCACCTAGGATATTGTAGGTCATAGTAAAACGTTGCCTTTTTTTGTGAATGAGATTGTAAGCCATTAAAGTAATTGTCATCAGAGACCATCACAAGAACAGCATTAGTAGAGTGATGTGGGTGAAAGCTGGCTTGGAATGGATTCAAGAAAATAGAGGAGGGTGTCTACACTGTGAATATAGCCAACTCTGAGTTGTCTTGCTATACAGGAGAGCAAAGAAAGGGACAGGGATCTGGGGCAAAAGGGAGATCAAATAATTTGTTTTTATGTGGCAGAAATACCAAAAGCATGTTTCCATGTTGAAGGGAAAGATCCAAGAGAGAAAAAAATTGATGATGCTGAAGGGAAAGTTGAGTTTTGCCTGAGTAATGTCCTTGAGAAGAAAGAGGAAGTGAATGACACACAAATAGAGGGATTGATCCTTGCTTGACACAACTTTTCTTCAACCATAGTCACAGGCAGAGTGTTTGTGTCAAAGGTAGATGAATGGATGGATAAAGTGGAGGAAGCTTATGGAATAGCTCTTTTGATTCTGATTACATCTCTTTTCTCAGAGAAATAGCTGAGAGTAAGAATAAGTGAGGAGATATGAGGAAAGTAAATATATACATATATATTGTTTTTTATGGGTTCCCCTTATGTACTATAGGGAACCCATAAAAAATCAGAATTATTTTTTGGAGGGCAGATCCTTTGTAGTACAGGACTTACCTGCTGGGTAAGTGTTCTAGAAACCCATCGGTATCAGCGTACCAGATAATATTTTTGTGAAAGGTTGTGTTTGTTTGTTTGTTTGTTTGTTTGCTTGCTTGCTCTTGAGATTCTTTCAATGTGTTTGCCTGTTTTATAATGGGTGACTCACGAGTGGACCCGCCCATACCACACTAGTGTTCAGTAGTTTTTAACTGAAAACGGCATGATCCCCATGCCCCAGTCTCCTTATTCACCTGATCTTGCCCTGAATGACTTTTTTGTGTGTTTCCTCAAATGAAAAAAGTCCTCAAAAGGAAACATTTTGCCATTGTGGGAAAAGTGAAACAGAAAATGTCAGAAAGGTATCAAAATTGACAAGTTCAACAGCTGTTTTGAGCAGTGTATAAAGCATCTCAATAGGTGTATTGCATCAAATGGTGATCAAGGTTTAAACATATAAGAACAAATACATAATTTTTAATAAATAAATTGCTTTTGGGGGGTCCACCCTCATATATATATGAAGTATATAAATTTGCAAGATGAGTAGAAGAGTAAGTAACTAGGAATATATGGTTCTCCTCTGAACAGCTCAGTGATGAATGAGGTGACTTAGAAAAATGGGTCAACTTAAGTAGTTCAAGATTATTGTTTATTATTTTGAAAGTTTAATGTAAACTAAAGACCTTGTCTCCAAATATGCACTTTTTTTGGTACTTCCAGAGCATTCACTGAGTCTTATATTCCCAGGCCCATATAAGAATTTTATACAGTTACAGCTCAGTAACTGCTCTTTAAGATGCCTACTCTAGCATCATGTCA